AAACGTTTGAAAACTATCTGGGCATTATAAAGATTTCACATGTAAAATTTGAAAATTTCCTGATACATAAAAGTATTTTTAATTTTAAAATGAATATTACTTTGCATGTTAGATAGGTAACATATGAAAAGAAAAACATTGCTTCACAAACCTTAAGACCAAATAAAAAAAATTGATATTTTGTATATGAAAGCATTGTAATGTTTACTGATAATCTGTCAAATTTCATTAACATTCACTTACTAATTTAAAAGTTATAGCATAAAAACTATAACATCCACAAAATGGTTATGAGGTCAGTCCCAGGGACTGAGCCCATACTGAAAGAGTTAATACAAATGTAGACTAAGAAATTTAAAGTATAACTTATAATGCTTTCATAATTCTCATCTTATCTAAAATTTTCTCAGAGAGATATAAAGCCTCTGGTACTCTATTAGCATCCACTGCAAATCAAGTACGGCAAAAAAAAAGCATTACCCAACAGCACAAGTTTAGTGACACTTACTCTCTTAGGCATTACAATAGTTACACTATCAGACATGGTCATATCAGGAATGAGCAAATGTGTGGGCAAAAAAAGGAGAAGTTTATATATAAATGCTTCTTTTATGTTTCACAATCAACAAGAAAATGGTTTTACTGAGTGTACTGTGCCTAAGGGTAGAACTGTACTCACCAGATGGGGTGTCTAATGCAGGGTCAACTTGCATCAACTCTTCTGTAGGTTCCGTTTTTTCTGTTTTCAAATCCTCATGCTTTAAAAAGTTTGAAACATTTTCACAGCTCTCAGAAAACATGGAAATAATGCCATCTTCTGAAAACCAAAAAGGTTGCTCAGTCTTTACCATGACAGCTGTGCTCTGAAATAAGAAATCACATACTTTATGAAAGGAGAGTAATAAGTTAGAATTCATATTTGTATAATATTTTGTGTTGTAAAAATAACTCACAATGCATTGTTTTTAAACAGTGTATTACAAACTTGAAATAGAAACATTAATCATATAACCTGTTGGTGTGCTATAAAAGTGGGACACAGTGCATTGTTCTTAAAACAATGTATTACAAACTTGAACTACAAACATTAGTTGTATAGACTGTTGGTGTTTTATGTATAAAAGTAACTCCCAGTGAATGATTTTGTATGGATTTAAAAAGAATACAATTTGTATTATGCTAAAGAGCTAAAACAAATATGGGTGAATATTTTGTCCATAGGTGAATTTGTCCAGAAGTTTGCATTAACTTCAGATATGTGGCTAAAGATGTTTAACAACTTCAAGAACAGTCTGTTCATCGATCAATATTTTTATAATTTTGTGTACAAAGAAAAAACGATTCATTTACACAATTATTTTTTCAGTTATTTTGTAACTAACAGTAGACATTACTTGTCATTGGAAAAAATGTAAGGAAAAAAAAACATTAAGTGTATATAAGGTTAAATCTTTAAACATATACTTAAAGAAAATAAGGGAATAAAGTAATCAAAATAATGTTTACCCAACATAACATATTCAACATTAGGAGAATTCATTGTCGTGGAGGCAGACATATAAACATCAGTATATAAAACAGTGCAAGATTAGTTTCTATAAAACATTAAAACTACACTATAAAAGAAGCACCATTAAAACATTTTATCTTTCTAATACTAACACATACATATTACAATCACTGCAATAATTTTGCAACATTCAACTTTATGGAAAAACAGTATTTAGAATTTAATTATAATTTTTTTTTTACAAAAGTAAAACATTTTTGTTTGTTACTGTTTACACAAAGCTGCTCAGTGGTCTCCTGTAAAGTGCTAACTGCAGGGATCAAACCCTGAACTTTAGTGTTATATACTCTCAAGTTTACCCGAGCCACCAGGAGTGGGGATAAAACTAATACTTTATGCGTTTGACCATACAAATGTTACAACAAGCCAAACATTGCAGGTTTTAATCTTTTATAACAGAATACAAAGTATCATTCACAGGTGATAATGTTTAACAGTGAGTATAGATCTTACATTACATGACACTAAGTTTACTGTAAACTTCTGTAAATTAACATACATGGATGAAATTCATTACATGATATGTTTACTGTAAACTTCTGTAAGTTATATATAAACACCTATATCTTCGTGGCTGCCAGACAATCTATCCTTGCAAATATCAAACATTTAATTCTCCCACTTAAAGTTCCAGTAAAATAGAGATTGTATCCATTTCTTTGTTCATTCATTTATCTCAAATTCAGGCTATTATACTGAATTATGCAGGTGAACAGAAGAATCATGGGAAATGATAAATATTGTGAAGACATTTGTTGATAGATTCCAACAAATCATTTTAAAATGGAAGTTGTATCCTACTTCTATAACACACTCAACATTTAGTTGGACAAGAAACCACACACACACACACACATATAGCTCTTTTTATGTAAACAAAATAATTGACCTTACTTCATTTTTTTGTGTTACTTCATTATCCACTCCCTTCTCCTTTTTTACTTTTCTAAGCTGAAAAATGGGGTGTAAAAATCCTTCTATTTCTCCATCTATATTTGAAAACAAAGTTGATTTTAGTTAAGTTTACCCCAACATAACAAAGACCTTCATTATCATACATTACAGGATTACCCTGCATTTTTTTTCAGTGCCTAATAAATATCTTGTGTTCTAAAATGCATATTTAAAAGCTACATTAATTATTATTTGGACAATGAACATTGTTAGAAAACAGAAGGCTTATGAAAGCAGGCACCCAAGTGCAAACACGCCTACAGCTGTTTAAACAAAAGTAATTAAAATGTAAAAATCAAAAACTAATTAGGCAATACAAGAAAACCTAAATGAAAAATGAAATTTATTTTTATGATCTCTGTTTAAGGTATCCACATAGTTAGACTTGAGTGACATAACCTGAAACTGTTTACTATAAACCATCCCCACTTTCTCTGGGTAATATATTGCTTGTCATGGTAGTCAAACATGGTTCAAAAAGCAATCAAATTAAAAGAAAGTAATTGTGAAAAGTTAACAGGCACAAAAGCTCTTAAGATAAATAACTGTATTTGTCTGTTATACTCTGCAGTCATTATAGTAAAAATAGGTATTTGTAAAACTTTTGATATTCATTTAGGAGGTTCTAAAGGTTATGCAAATGAAATATGAAAATTGTAAGATGACAAGTATTTTTATTCTTGACATGAAAATCATCTTTCACTCAGACTGACCCAGTAAAGGCCTTTAAAATACATGGACAAATCTTTAATAAAAATACTTTGTTAAAATATTTAATTTTGTATACAACAGACTCTTAACATTTCCTAAAAGTTTAGTAAATTTCTCAACAATACAGTTACTTCATTCGGCTTTAGCATGTAGTTTTATGGTTCCACTGTTGGTCAAAATGACTGAGCTTGTATACAAAGTATTTATGTCATGAAAATAATCAACTAATAGGAATTTCTAATTATTCTAACTATCCAGTAACTGAAATATTCATTATGATTTTTTCATTATTATTTTAAATTAATTCAAGTTTGTTTAGGTTAATACACGAGTGTCATGACTCATGAAAATAACCAAATAATTGAAATTAAGGTTTCTAGTTATTACTATTTTAAACTATTCCAACTAACAAAGTACCTGAAATATTGCCATTATATTTATTAAGCACAAAGTTACATGATGAGCTATTTGAGCTTGGCCTACTATGGCTACCAAAACCTGATTTGTAGTGTTGATATTTTGTTTTATCATTGCATGAAAATAAATGAATTTGCTGAATGTAATCAATTAATGTGCCCAACAATCAATAAATTAACAAATACCAGTATCTGCTCAGCTCTAGTAATAACAGATAAAAGTTTCCATTTAATCTCATGCAAAATTTCTAAAATTACAAATATTACTACTACACAGTAAATTTACACTTTTCAATGGCTGATTTAGAACACATTCTCAACTCATACAAAAATATTGTATTATTAGAAACCCCTTTACATGGTCTTGAAAATTTTTCTAAGTTATGTAGCATATAGACTCAGACAATTATGCACCCAGATATGTCCAATGAAGTAAGATAACAGAAAATTAAACCAGTCTAATAACAGCAATGACAAAAAGAAATAACACAAAATATAAAAGTATAACTGAAAATTGTATCTGTAATTTTAATAAAATCAAGCAATATGATTTAATTATTCTAGTAATAAGTCCTTGAAATTAGGACATCAAGTCCATGGCAAAAAGAATGTCATCGTAAGTGCATTAATCAAGAGAACTACTTGGCAAACACCATTGCTTGGATGAAGAGATTCTTCCACTTAATATATGAACAGGATATAAAACAAGCGTCCTCACCAAGGTAAAAACATACATTAGGTTTTTATACTGATTAAATATTTTTTGTAAAATCATAAAATTACAGGAAACTTTCCAAGATTAACCAGAAGTATAAACTTTGTCATATTCTACCCGTATGATATTCAACTTTCACTGAAAATCAAAATGAAATAATACGCATAAAAAATTTTAAAATCTCATATTATTTCATGTTAACAAATATAGTGAAATACTCCTGACAAGTTCATTTTCAAACACACATATTCTTCAAATAATGTAAAACTTAAATTTTCTGTTCATTCTGTATAAGGTAGTATTTAAAATATGTCAAACTATTGTAAATTTAAAGTACAAACTTCACTGTCCCATCTAATACTAAAAACACACAATAGTCTAAAATGAAACAACACAATTTGACAGTGTGCATGTTAGCTCTGATTCTGAATCACATTTTGATTAAAATAAATGTTTTCTTAAACTAATAAAGTGTAAAAGCTACTAAAACAAGGAATTATCAAAAATTTCAGTGGCCTCTACAAAACATGCATTAGAACTTTGAAGTGTAAACTACATTTTTAGTGTTACCTATCAACTTTTTACCTAATCTTTCCTCAAGCAATGTACATGGGAAAACCATGTTACCTGAATAACATGAGAGGTAAAGGGAAAACATTTTTACAGTTTTTTTTTATTTATTTTTATGATGGCATTATTTTCCTGTTGTATTTGAAATTTATCATGCCATGGCTTTCCATATGGCAGCACTAATTTTGCCATATTTAAAATACAACATACAGTTAATAGGGACCAAAATGAGACAACAATAAAAACATTAAATATTGGAAGTTACTTGGTGTTTTAATGGTTCTTTCCTCTTCTTTGAGCAGTTTAATTCCCAACAAAGCATTCTGCTCCTCAGCAGACACTGGTTCCACTTTTATTTTCAAGATTTCCATAGTATAAGCCTCACACTTCAGATATTCACCCAACTAAGATTTGAAGCTGGAAAATAGTACTTACAATTATAATATATGCACATACTAGTACTAACCGAAATAGTAACTGATAATAATATGTAGTACTAGTATTCTCCGATTGTTAAAACTACCTATAACATTAATTTCAGTAAAATAACTAATGTACTAATAGTAATATCCGTGATGTCCTTGTAATACCGTTTTAAACATTTAATGGTACCATTTGTATGATAATTACTCAATAACTGAGTTATATTATAAGTGACCACTTTCATCCCCACGTGGAATAGTTTACCCATAGTGCTTGTATTTGCCGGTAGACTTTTTTCGAGAATTAGGCTCGCCCTCTCCTGGTGGAGTAAAATCAAATTATCATTAAATATATTACACTTGAAATGCTTGAATGAAAGAAGAAGTGGGTTTTACTTTTAGCTTAGTAAATATGTAATGCTCAACTCAGTATATATATATAGCAACTGGTAAAAAAACAAAGATGGCGATATTATGTACCAATTTATATAATTATTTTTTGCTTATGATTTTGCTTATCGTTTATGTTTTACTCTTACCGTTTGATTCAACTATATTTTCCCCATTCGAACCACCACAATACAGTAGTGTATTGTCTGTCAGTCAGTCAGTAGACATTAAAATAACGTCACATAAGGGATGCTTAACGTTACAATTTGTACTGTCGTGATGTCAGTAAAATGTGCGCATGTCATGGATCACGAGAAGAATTATGCACTTTGTAGGCTACAACACAGGTATTACCGAAAACATGCAACGAAAACTTCTACCCTCAATACCGAATATCAAGAACTAAACTACTTACTAAAACGTAAACAAGAATCAGACCACCAACTTGGCTGCTACCTCGAACCAGACGAGTACAACAATATATAACGAACCATCAACCAAAACAACTCCGTATTTAATCAAGAGAAGATATTGTTGCGTCATCGAGGTCACGTGACTGGTGTGGCGCCCTCTAGTTTCTAGAACTATCTTGTTCCTTCATGAATGCTCTAGTATTTACTAGATAGGGTAGTCTGGTATATATAAGAGGGTGACAACGTGACGCGGTAATGTGATGTATAGTGTGTATAGACAGTGAGTAATTGAACTGCAGTCAGAGAGCACGAGAGACGTTACAGCGTTTGTTTAGCGCAATTGTTGAAGTTGAGTGTATCGGTAAAGTTATATTCGGAAAGAATAAACCAGTTTTATTAAGAAAGGACTTGTGTCGCTTAAGTTTCGTCGGAACGAAGTTATGGAAAATCAATTAACAAACGGAGACGTAACAATATCTATACACAGCAAAAAACTGGAACAACTGAGAAAACTACAATAACATGAAAGACAATACAACGAAGCCCAACCTAATCTTGTTATCAACAGATCAGATCGACGGTTGAACGACACTGAACTATAACTTTTGAACAAAGACCTCAACTTCGCCATCAGCCACAAGACAGTTCCCTGCCTAGAATTAAAGACCAGCCTAAAATATTTATCCAGAAGACTGGTGATTCATTACACACACACACAAAAAGAAAATACCATATCTCTCTTATACAGCAATCAATAACAAGAAGAAATCCAAAGCTCCCATTAACCAGACTTTTGTGATAGGTAATTACAACAATATGTGGTTTCCTGAAGTTCCCAAAAACTGTATCCTAAACAACTTTTCAAAGGATTCTCTAATAAAATCATTAATGTAGTTAACCAAACTCGTAACCTGAAAACTAATTTCAAAAGTAACGAAATAAAATGCATCTACAATCTTGAAAAAGATACCAACATTGAAATATTAAAAGTTGACAAAGGCAACACTACTGTAATCAATAACAACACGGAATATATCGACAAAACGAACAACATCCTTTCAGACAATAAGAAATTTAAACCCATCCAAAACTAACACACATTAAAAACAACCGAAAAAAAAACCCTGTCACAAATGAAGAAAGACAACTTCATTACTGAAGATCTTTATTTTCATCTACGGGAAACTGACTCACGCACACCACAACTCTATGGCATTTCCAAACCACACAAATATGACTCCCCATGCTATCCACTTATGATTCATTAAACTATAATCTTGATAAATACATAGCCTGGTACCTCACACCTTACATAACTTCGGCTGGTTCCTTTTTTAAAGATATCTTTAACTTCAGAAACACTTTAAACCAACTAAACCCTAAAGCCTTAATGGCTAGCTTTGACGTTGCGTCACATTTTACCGAAGTTCTCGCCAAAGAAGCTTATGATATTGAACTTGACCTCTACCGTAATGACCCCAATCCTTAATTCACATTTCGAGTATACTTTTTGTTTCCCTCCTAGAATTCACAACAACAAAAACCAACTTCATTTAAAAGAACAAAAACTTTATTCAAACAGATGGTTTAAGCACGGGCAACCCTGTTTCACCTGTTCTCGCCAACATATTCATGACACAGATCGAAACCTAAGCCATACAATTTGCACTTTATCCTCCCTTATACTGGAACAGATATGCTGACGACACTTTTGTTGGTTTCACTTCTACCGAACACATACACACTTTTTTTGAACACATAAACTCTGTTCACACCAACATTAAATTCACCATTGAACAAGAAAATAACAAACAGTTATATTTTAGTAACATCGACATCATTAGATCCCACACAGAGTTCAAAACCAAAATTCACCGAAAAATCACTCACACAGGCCTCTACATTCCCTCCCTGGAATGCCGCCCATGAATCCAAACAAAAATTAATGTATATTAGAAAACCTTACAGACACAGATTCAATACTTTGCTCAACTGACTACATAGATGATGAAATCAACTCTATAAAGCATTCCTTCATTCACACCAACAAATTTTCCCTAACCAGTGTCGAAAAATTTCCACACAACCATCAGAACAAAGACCTCAAAACTCAACTTACAAACAAAATTGGCACGAATATACCAAACAACAGTACAACATTGCATTGCAGTTCACCATTTATCCCTGACACCAGTTCAAATATAATTAACCTTAGAGAAAACTTGCAATTAAACATAAAATTCCTGTTCACTTCAAATTCACTCCAAAACCTGGCACTAAACTAAAATCCTTATTAAATATAAATTACATAAAATCGCACAATACCAACGTCATTTATAAAATAACATACAATAACTGTCCATAATTCTACATCGGAGAAACCAAATTCACCGAACATGATAAAAAACCTTCCATGTTTACCACCATTGCAACACAAAAACTCACAGTATATCTATACAAAACATTGTAATTTTAAACAAATAACCAAACATCAATAAACGCAGAATAAAGGAAGCTATCTTAATTGAACAAAACAACTCCACCATAAACCAACTCCTCGGGATACCAAGATATGTATACTAGACTCTGACCTAAAAAAACAACAAAGAAAAAGAAAAAAACTAAACGTAGAAAGAATTTTGTGTAAAGGAAGAGAAAGCAATGTGATAATTGCTTGCTCTTCCCAACAGCGGTGCTCAGGAATAATCGCTCCCATTCAACCCCTCGCGTGGAAAAGTTTTACCAATTGTGTTTATTTTTGATTTCGTGGGTTTTTATTTCTTGCAATCATATTTTCGGAAAGCTGTGAAGAAGAGAGGACACGAAGATCTTGGCACTGAAGGATTTCTTGTTCTTCGTGGTTGGAGGGTTCATTCTAGTTGAAGATGTGGTTCAGTGACGTGGAGAGAAACAGACTTTGACCAAAATAACCAGTTACAGCGTGTATTACTTTTAAAATTTAAATATTGAAAGAACCAATTTAATTATTACTATAAAAAATAATTTTTAAACCATCTAGAAATAAACCAGCGAGAGAAGAAGGCTCTTTTCGGGTGGAGGCTGGGTCTTTGGGGTCCAATGCCCGGAAGAATTTTGTTGTGGGGGGGGGCGGAGTGCTCGGAGTAAATCCACCTTTACAGGACAGACACCGAATAATCTATCTGCACTATGGACTGGCTGTGAAAAGAAACACGGTAGTTAAGAACAAGACATGGTATGATATTTGAAACTCAAAGTTGCGGATGTTTGGTTGCTCTGTGTTCTTTTGTTTGCAATACAGATTGTACGGAGACGTGTGTGAGAGGAAAGCACTTGTAATTGTATGTAGTGTAGCTGTAAGTTTGTTTCTTTTTCTGCTTTATTTTAGCATTTGTAGACTTAGTGAGTGTATTTCTTAAAGTAGGGAGGTTACCAATTTTATACAGGTATTTTACGGGAATGAATTTTGGAAGCCTTGGGGCTAATCTAATTGCTCTGTTTTGTTGCAGTTTTCTGATGATATTTTCTGACATGTTGAATGTTATATGACAGTCGTGTTCTATGAGAGAGTGTATAAATGTTTTGTATATATTTTTAGCGATGTTTCGGGTGTGCAGCCCGTGTGTTTGCCGGCAATTAGTCTGATATAATTGACACTTATTGAGGTGTGCTTGTTTTGAATATGTTTGTTCCATGTTAGACGTGTGTCAAAGATGATGCCAAGATTTTTAATATTGTTGTTCATTTTTATTTCTGTTTCTCCTAACTTTAATTTTTTCTAGTTTTTTTTTGTGTTTTCTTGTTTTTGAAAAAGGTAATTGATTGGGTTTATAATAACTCACCATTCGTTTCACCATTCTAGAATTAGATTCAGTTGCATTCAGTGGGTTTCTAGATATTCTTCAGACGGCTATGTCGTCGGCATATTGAGAGTGATATGTATATCTTAAATTGAGGAACGGGATGTCATTTACAAAAAATATGTATAGGAGTTGTGAAAGAACTGATCCTTGCGGCACTCCTGTGGTAATATTAAATGTTTTAGTTAGATTGTTATTTACTTAGACTTGGGCTTTTCTATCGTACAGGAAGTTGGATATCCATCTGATTACGGTATCTTTAATATTCACTTGGTTCAGTATACACTTGATAGCGCTGTCAAAAACTTTCTTGACATTTACTTTTATGGTGGCTTGATTACTATTAATTGATTTGTAGACAGATGCTGTTAATCTCGTGAGATGGTCTATTGTTTGTCTGTTCTTTCTTGATGCATTTTAGAAGTTTGATGGTAAATTGTTTGTTTTGCAGAAGAGTAAAAATCTATTAGATATTATTACTTTCATTAGTTTGCCGAGACAGCTTGACAAATTAATGGGGCGGAAGTTATCAGGATTAAATCTGCTATTTTGCTTTTTGGGCATTATGGTTATTATTGCATTTTTCTTTGTGGTCGGGTAGTAACTAGTTGAAAATAAGAAGTTGATTA